TTTCACATAAAAATGCTTCTGTCCCGTTTAGGAAACAGGGCTGAAGTGTTTTACCTGTCAACCTGTTCTAAGTAGTCTTCAGTTTCCTCTTCCGGTTCCGATGCGCTTTTCCCCGCCGTTTTTCGCCCGCGCAAGTGATTTCCAGCTTTTTTTTTTTTAAGTTTGCTTTATAGCGTTATAGCACCATATATCAGCAATATATCAACGCCATTGGAATGGCTGGAGTGTTTTGTTATAGCGCTATAGCGCTATAAAGCAAACTTTAAAAAAACGCCGGAGCTCGCCCGCACGGGCGAAAAACAGTGGGGAAAAAGCGGTACAGTCTGAAATGGCAACACTTGATCAAACACAGATGAATTCAATATGTCAAACTGACTCCATTTAAAAGTGTTGGGTTTTGTATTATACAAAGGCTCTGGCTTTGGTGTTAGAACTATGATGGCTTATTCAAAGCTTAATACTTAAGGGTGATGAAAATGTTGTGTGTCAAGTGAACTGGCTTGCTGCTGTAATAAAGACAGTTGTCCTGAGTACATTCCAAAGCTGTGTCTTTCAGCCAGCCTGCCATTCAATGTTTTCAAGAAAATCGTGAGCTACTTAGAAGGGTTCTTGATTACAGCTATGAAATTCAAGTTGGGGCCTGGAGGTCTCTGGACTGGCTCTTCAGACAACAGGCATCAATTCCCCTAAGGGAATTTCAGCTTTAGAGGGTGGACTCCTTGGTATCACATCTCTGTTGAGTTCCCACCCTTTCCCAAACTCTGACCTCCCTGGGAACCACCCCATATCTCCAGGAATCTCCCAAGCCGTAGTTGGCAACTCTCTTTGACAAATCTAGATGGATCGCCCTGTTAGTCTGCCTGCAGCAGTAGAAAAGAGCAAGAGTCCAGGAGCACCTTAAAGACTAACAACATTTGTGGCAGGCAGGGGTCGTTTCGTAGAAAAAGAGCTAGGGGAACTCATTAGCATAACTCATTAGCATATGCCACACCCCCTGCCATCACCGGAAGTGTGTCATAAGGCCACACCCACCACTCAGTTAGTCTTAGTCTTAAAGGTTAGTCTTAAAGGTGCTATTTGTTAGTCTTAAAGGTGCTATTTGAACTCTTGGACTATTTTGCAGCAACAGACTAACACAGCTACCTCGGGGAAGCTCCTGGATGGGGCTGGGAGTCCTTGCGGAGGCCACGTAGAGTGGCCTCAGCCAGGCAGAGGGGGAGGACGCCAACTTACCCTCCTGCTTCTTCCTCCTTCTGTAACAGAATGAGGCTGGAAGCAGGGGGTGGCTGGAAGAAGGGGCGGAGCTTCATCATTTGCCCCGCCCCCATGCATCTCACCCGGGGGAACTGCGATCCCCCGCGATCCCCCCTGAATTGACCTCTGGTGGCAGGGTATGAGTTTTTGAGCTGCGGTGGCTCAAGTGGTTAAGGCACTGAACTGCAGGCTGTGGAAGGTCAGTAGTTCAGCAGTTCGAGACCCGAGTGTGCCGCGTGACGGAGTGAGCTGCCGTCTCTAGTTCCAGCTCCTGCCAACCTAGCCGTTCGAAAGCAAGACATTGCAAGTAGATAAATAGGTACCACTTTGGTGGGAAGGTAACAGCGTTCCATGCACCTTGGTGTTTAGTCATGCTGGCCACATGACCACGGAAACATCTTCGGACAGCGCTGGCTCTTCGGCTTTGAAACAGAGACTCAACTGACTTTCGAGCAAGGGAAACCTTTGCCTTTACCTTTATGAGTTTTTGTGGCTGCCACAAATTTTATTAGTCTCTGACAAATATTTGGGACTCTGAATGCGTTCATGAGCCCCTCCAAAATTTCTTATGTAATCATAGCAGCAAAGGAATGAGGTAGGTCGATGTTGGCTATAGCCAATTGTATTTTGCCAGGGATGTTGATACAATGCTTGTAATCCTTTCCTTGGTAGACTAGGACTGCTTAGTTCTCTGTGTTCTCTCTTGCCTCCTTTTCTAGACTGAGCTCGTAATCAGTAGCCTTTAACGTGGATTTGATTAGTTTGACTGAATTTAATATTGATTTGAAAGAGAAGAAAAGAATCACCAAGTTACACATTATGATTCATTCTGGACCATTTCAGGCACCCCCCACAATCAAACATTTATCTGTTTTGTGCTGGTTGGTTTCTTGTAATCTCTACCTTATAAAATGGAGCAGGATTCACCACAGGATGACATTTCTCAAATAATGATCCCTTCTTTATAAGAATGGAGCAGTGGGTCTCTGCACACATTTCTAGACAAAAGACACAAAGAAAGGATGTAATCCAATTTCCTTTATTTCGGAGCCAATCTTAAAACAGTCAAGATGAAGGCAAACTGGCAACAGAGGCTATAATACCTTGTAGTTACTTTTGTAGCCTATTTCCTAGCCTGCTTCACTTATTTTCTTGATATTTGTGGCTAGGTTTGTCATTTGTCATACTTCTCATGACTACCTATGAAGAAGACCGTTCCAATTTATTTTACATGTGAAGTATTTGCTTCTCCGATCAAGAGTCTGAACTTCCTAGTTATTTATTTATGTATTTAAAATATTTCTGTGCTGCTTTCCCACCCAATTCAGTGTCCCCAAGGTGGCGAACTTTGAAACAAAACATTCAAACATTTCAGACACGGAAAAGCATTTAAAATACAAAAATACAACATATTTAAAACAAATAAAAAACACACGAACACACAAGAATATAAACAGAGCTAGTAAAAATTAGTGAGGGAATAGCCCATCCTCAAAAGTCTTCTTCACCTACTGGTGGAAGAGAACAACGGAAAGAGAAAGATGAGTTTCCCTGGGAGGGAGTTCCAAAGTTTTGGTGCAATGATAAAGAAGACCCTTTTTTGGGTTGCCCTCCCATCTAGCCTTCGATCGTGGGGGGCACCCAAAGCAGGGTCTCCAAAGATGAGCAGAGTAATTGGTTAAATTCATAGGAGAGCAGGAGGTCCTACAAGCAGGGGTCATTCCCTGCAGGAGCGCACAGGAGCAGAGCTCCGGCAGTAAAGAGCCCAGGGGGCGGGCACATGCAACAAGCCATACCCCCTGCTCCCAGCAGCCCTCAGTCAGAGCAAGAAGCAGCCAGGTAAGTTGCAGAGTCCCCCCTGGGGCCCCGGTCCAAAACAGTCCAGTGGCACCTTTAAGACCAAGTTTTATTCAGGTACAAGCTCTCCCTCCTCTGGGAGGACAGATCTGCACATTCCCCCCCCCCAATAGCTAACAATCCAAAACAGTCCAGTGA